TCATACAGACATATAGACAGAATGAATACAATGAATACAAACATGTAACTAAAAGATCTGTCTGAATGTCCATACAATATAGCTTTGAAGGAGGAAACTGCTAAACGACGACGACCAAACACTGTGTCGACTGCAAGTGAAACTTTACAATGTCCAATGCGTGTTGATAACCGAAAATTTAAAAAATGTTATAATATATATTATGTAATTTTACTTTACTCGTTCAGACGAAATATGCAATCTGTACTTCGCCATTGCAGAATGTAGTTTTCTAACTGAAGACAGTGATGATGACGGAACGGTGGAAACTTATTGACAAATATTCATATTTCAATAACATTTTATCATAGCAGCATTTGTTTGATTGATTATATATTTGAGATAATAATGTCACAATCTTTTGTTATTGCGATTTTTATTAACTTTGTCCGACTGGGTAAATGTTGAATCACATTTGGGTATGAGTTATATCACGTACATTACCGCATGAAATCTCTTAAGGTTTATTTTCATTCGTTATATTCTATTCAATATCACCATCTCTATAATTCTATTAAATATCACCATCTCTATAATCCCTGTGTTCTCGCGCATTTGTCTTGTCTTGCTTTAGAAACTTTAGTTTTCTCGGAGTATATTTGTATTTAATGTATACATTTACATATGCACATTTCTTTTCTATTATATTTTTTTTAGATAGACTTAATGTTCTTTACCAGTTGTAGCTTAATTTGTCAGTTTCCGAACGAGTCTCAATTTGTTCTGATGCTATTTTTTGCTGTGGATTTTAACAGAAGCATAGCAAGAAACCTTTTTTTATCATCTGATATTTTACGTCGTTCTAGCGTTATAACTTATGAATACTTGTAAAAGCATATTTCAGCTGTTCTCAAAGCTTTTTAGTTTTTTAGTTCAGACTCTATTCCTCCGGGTTTTGCAATACAGATGTATTTCATTTACAATCGTTTCAGTAAATAATGGAAATCTAGTAAGAATATTTTTCTTTTAATACTGTAAATGATATTTCTTGAAACATAAAGATACATGTGTATGTTAATGTTTTTTCTTAATGTTTTTTCCTGTCCATTTGTTTTTTCTTGACCTATTTCTTTTAAAATGCAATTGTAAATAACAATGAAATTTTAGATGGGAACTTCTTTGATTTTTGAAAATAGTGATATCAGTTAAGCATCAACTAAAGCTGTTTATGTCATACTATGTAACTATTTGTCCTTGTTTCTTTTAAAGTGGATTCTGGTAGAGTTACAATGACACAAGTAACAAACAAATAATATAGTGATAGTCTGCTAGGAACATTTATTGAAATTAAAATATGTTATGTTTCAGGAAACTTACTTCTTTTCGAGCTATGCATTTCATTTGATACTGTAATTTGAATTTTCACTGGATTTAAAATCAATATTCGTTTCTATACACGTTGATTGTTGATCTGCTTTTTATTTTGTAAAAATGAATTTACCTCTAGGATGATTGATCTTCGTCTGACTGCTCGCTCAGGGATTTCATGCTCATTAGATTTAAACAGAAACTAGACGCCATTGCTTATACAAGAATTAGAAATACAAATTCTGCGATTGTTATAAAAATGAAACAATTGATTATTCATTATATTTCTTTCTTTTTTAATGACTTTACAGACAGGAAATGCATAGTGTGATCATAAAACATAATACTGTACATAAAATTGAAAATTAGTACATGTATAAATAATTAGTTCCAAATTTGATACGAACACATATGTATTCTAGAATATATAATTAGACTTAATTGAAAAGAAATGTATCAAATAGAACAAAATGAATAGAAAATTAATATTCTTTAGCAAAAAGGATGAAAGGAGTAGAAACATTGCTTGCAAGCCATTACTTAATGAGTTCATATTACTTTTAGCACTCTAAAGCGGGTTAATTATCTCTGCGTTCTTATCAATCCGTGTATATATTGGTTAGAGGATATAAAGATCTATATTGATTATTTCTAATCTTTCTATTAGAGAACATTTGCTGGTAATTACTTAACGGAAATGAAAAACAGTACAAATTGTAAATTTGCTAATTGGATGATATTAGTAATGCCAGTAGTTTACAGCTCGAAATGGTTCAGATGCAAGCGGATATTAAACAAGCCAAATTACTAACGCCCGTTTTGTCAAATAGTCATTGTGATATTGTAACCGAAGATAAGCTATCATTTGATATCCAAATAAAAAAAAACACAACGGCATCGATCAATTATCTCTCCATAATCACCTTCGAAAAATATTTCATTTAAGTTGTTAAAGTCATGTCGAATTAGTAATATGGTTCAGTGTTGCGTGTACTTTATCAAAAACAATGTTACTGATTCTGTGGTGAAACATAGAACATACACTTCATCAGTTGTAATCTTGGAGCATATAAAAAATTCTTTAATAAGCAGAGCAACAAAACCACGAGCTACAAATTAGAAAGGTTTCCAATGTATTGCTTTTAACATTTAAACGGTTACATGTCAGTGGCAGATCTATTTCAATAAAATCAACTTTTACTGACACTAATTCTGCACCCTTATCAAGATTGCGTGCGTCAGTTCCATCTAATATTGAACATGTATACATTTGTACTTGGTATATTGATTTCTACCCTCTCATCTGACCACGTGCATTAGCTGCATTAGCACCGGTCAGCTTACCTTGGTAATTGCAAATAATGTACTCATTTTCTCCTCTACTATATTGCTTTGTTGTATGTCATGTCATCATTTGTCTCGAGGTATTTATAGTAACATCTGGGAGGCACATTAGCTTTAGATATCATTTGTCTTAAATTGTTTAACCATTGTACCAATACCATTAAACAATCATTTGTATTTATGTAATGTACAGAACAATGTCTTAATATGTAATTTCTAAAAAAATATGTTTGAATTCAATTCAACCCCTTAACGTACTACTTTACTGTATATCTAATGTTCACCTTTTGAAAACGACTTATTAAAAACTTGAATACATGGTCAGTTCACCTCCGAGTTGGCATGGAGTATCTATACGTTTTATTTTTCAGCCAAAATATCTCATTGTTCAGGAAGAAACACATAAAGATAAAAGGGGCGAGACGGCAACTACAAAAAGAACAGCATCATTATCATCATCGATTATTCCCTGCGGTCTGGAGACCGCAGGGTATTGGTACGCGTTTAACTTTTGAGGCATGGAGGAGCACGTGACCAGTTTTCGGTACATGGAGGAGCATGTGATCTGTAAACCGTACACGATTGGTTAATTGACCTTTTCGAAAATCTGGCTAAATACCGTTTGTCGGTACGTTACGGAATTACCTCTAGGGAATTAGTCAGAATTAAACCTAATTCAGAACAAAAGCCTACTACGTGATATTTCTAATTTTCTATAATTATTTTACCGTTTAAGGTGAAAAAAATCTTGAATGATTTATTTGAAAATTATCATTGTTTCTTTAATACATGTATCTCAAATTTTACAAACAATAAATTGTTTATACTGAAAATCTACAAAATTAAAATATTCGTAGTGGCATCTGCCATAATAAATAGAGATATTTTCTGCGTAAACTTGTGTGTTTACTTTATTATTTTTTTTGCTTGGAATTATTCATAAAATGGTAGGCCTATTTAATCATTTTCTTAAAAAGAAATAATTGTTTTATGTTCGACCTTCTCCGGTCATCAACGGTCACCAGTTTCGAAAGACCTTCTTCTATATTGATCGATTATTGTCAACTATATTCCTGATATAAACGTTTATCTTTTCCCCTCTCCCAAAACAATGTTGAAAATAGTTAAATGAAATATCTTTATATCATTAAAAATGTTCCCCGCAGTAAACCATTTTACTTGTTATACATGTAACGTGTTTTGAACACTCGCTGTTCATACGTACAAATGACACATACAATATACCGATATGTATAAACATGTTCATTTATATTTACATTTTAATGGTTCCTATCCGTTTTTTACTTTTAAAATATTTGGCGTTTTCCATATTTTGAGACAAATGCAGCATTCAAAATAAGATCTACTTTTATTACATACATGTTTCACACTCGTAATGATCGGGATGTCATGGTCGCACAAATACACACTGTAGCGTAAATATACACTAAACGTTACACTTCCAGAACGTCAATAAATTTTTTTTTATTGATAATTGTTATTTTGTGGTATATGATATCAGAATTTTATAATCGAAAAGCTTCTTTACTAAATGTATTGAAAACGCCAGAGATTCACATAGTAAAAGTTTATTCAACTCGTTCACTAAATTCTGAATACACGTGACGTGATTCGGTAATTATGTTACAGTTCAAATGAAATGGCTCTTGCTTCTACTGTAATCTGTTATTTTTACGTGTTCGTGATGAATAGATTAATTAAATTCGATTAATATAGAATATCCTGCGAGCCTCTTTAATACTGCATATGGAAACCATACATGAGTCACAAATTCAATAAACTGAACAACAAAATTATTTTGTCATATCTCATGTATTGAGAATCTCGAAAAGTAAACTCTTAATGCAATAAACACATTTATGTTTGATTGTCTCCCTTCAACCTGATTTGAATTCCCATTTCAAAAGCATTCACAATATTTCCAATTTCGCTGCCTGCGTAGTAAGTTTGCATTAAGGTTTTATTATCAATTACGAGTATGCGTTTTTATGAGGTATGCACAATTTCTTTTGATCTTGGTTAATGCAAGAAATATTTTGTTTGTTTGTTTGTTTTTCTTTCAAATGTTTTTTTCTCCCTTTCAAATGTGACTCATCATACAATTTCAAGTCATATACTTAAGACTATTGAACATCATCTTGTGAACGATTAATCTAAAATACCGGATCACAAAATGATACCACAATCAAACAAGGTGATACATTTTGTACCATTTTATCAAAAACAAACTCAACTGATTACAATATCTTTATTTTTATCACAAGTGCATTAACTCAAGTCTCCTATCCTATATTTCAGTTCAAACAATTCAAACAATTTAACACAATTTAACAACGGGAATGCTCTTAAATGTATTATTTTCAAGAGGATTATTTTTGCAGTTGTTCCACTAGCAAATGATCTGATGCAATTAAAGTTGTTACATTTGTTTGATGAACGGAATAAAATACTATGAATAAAGTTTTTGTTTACATAAATGTGTATACTATATTGAAATTAACATTAAGTACAGACTATGAACTCGTTTGCGATACAGGACAGTATGTGACGTCAGAGGTAAGAAATAGTTTGTTAATTATATACAGAAAAAGGTTGGTGATGAGACTGTGTTATAATTTACTGAAAAAAGTTTTAAAAAAACGGTAAGCCCCAATCCTAATTTTAACTTGTTCTATTATTGTCATTGGTTTGTAGTTAGTATTTATTTTGTATCCAAATACTAATTTGTTTTTTCTTTGACCATAATACTAGTTTTTATTTTCTGTGTGTTGCTTGCGTTCTAAATGTTATTGGATAAGGTACATTTTATGCTACTATTAAACGACATGTTTTTAGATTTTGGATACATTATATTATTTATATATGTTATGTTTAGGTGAAGATAAATTTTACGGTTAGAGGGCAGGATAGTTTGTTCGGGTGCATGAATGGTAAGAATTATGTTGTTACACTTTAATAAGATTAATTGATTTTTTTCCAGACAATTTAATAAGATTGACTATGTAGAAAAAAATGCTCAACTATGATTTACCAAAATAATTTCTTTCAGAGATTCAATGAATTCATCTTAAACAATATTTTCGCGATATTTATTCTTGTTATACAGGAGCAAACATGAATTTTGCTGATTATTTGACAATATGAATTTAAGGTTAGTCACGAATATTAACAAGTCGCCATGGAAGATTACAAATTGGTTAACCCGCTTTATCTGCCATTTGTTATCTTACTCAAAGTATGCCAACTGAGTGTCATGTTTAAAATTGTTGAACCACCTTAAAGATTCTCTATTTTAAAAGTAGCATGTTCTAACAGGGACTCCACGCAGGTTCTTTTGGCATGATGGGACTAGAAATATCTTTCTGAAGATGTGTACAATTTTAAATGGGACTTTTAACAAATAACTTGTGTGCAAAAATGAAAAGCGTTTAATCGCTTTTAAACTTGGGTACGAATTGCTTTCTTCTTTTTCTTCTTAGGATTGAGCCCTGAAGATAGCAGAACATATCCTGGCTCACCAGAAAAGTTGACGTACATTGTATCACAAGATGGTGCAAATTTCTCTTTGCTTTGGAAACCACCTGACGATTGTAAGCTATGATAAAACTATATACATATTCTCGTAAAATGCAACAAATCAGATATAAAATTAAAACATACCAATAACTACACTTTGCAGTTAAATGTCAATAAGTATACATTCCTGCATTGTTATTTAAGTTGAATATATACCTATTAAAATGTACAAAGTATATAATATAATATAATATTACGTATACGTTCACATGCAGCGTCCATAGATCATGTGACTGGGTTCCTGGTAGAGATGTTTGTTGAAGATTTTGAGAACACATTTGACTCTGATCCATCCAAATGCTACTTAATTAAAAGTAGTCTGGTAAGTGCTTTCGTTGTATGTTTTAAACACCTGCCAAACTAAATGAAATACCGTAGAGAAAAACATAAATAGTTAAACAAAGAAAACATAGTTTGGAATAGATGTAACATGCCCAACAGAAATGTTAACTATGTAAAAGTGAAAACTATATAAAAGTATGAAAGCATTTAGCTTACTCATCATTCCAAGGTCATTTGAACAATTCTCGATCACCTAGTGGTTTCTTCATAAATAACACATGATAATGCTATATCAAGTAAATATTCATCTAATATTGTAATGAAATATAAATGTTTTTAAATATCAAGCAACTAGTTCTTTGTTTTACAACAATGCTACATATGTATTTTATAGCAAGACATTTTCTTAGCCTCTTATAGACATAACATATTTATTTGTTTGTTTTGTTGGGTTGACACTTTAAAGGTGGACTTGCGACTTTCCAGCAGTACTGATGAAAGAAGACACAGATGCCGCTCCTAGCATTATTAAAGCTACGAGCAGACAGGCACCTAAGTGGAGCCATAGACGTTCCGTAAGATAGCTGGATACCCTTTTAACATGGAAGAACTATTCAAAGTGCCTTGTGGAATTTCAAACACACAACGGTGAGGGGCAAGTTGACATGGAATATCAACTGTTATATGACTCGGTCATTTATTAAGTATTTGTTTGTGAATAAAGCTCTAGCATATGAATTATTAGTCTTAAATTGTAAATTGGCACATTAATTTTAGGGATTCTCTTCTTATGAGGGAGCAGTACCACAGGATGCCGTGTTTCAACTAAACTGCAAAATACAGAAATACCTAAATGTGAGGATAAGTATTATATCATTACCTGCACCTGCAATAGGACGGTCATACAAGGAGGCCTCTATATATGTTCTTTTACAAGGTATCAATTATTTGGTATATTTACCTACATAGTGTATTTCAATATTAAGCTGCTATGTAATCACAGATGTAAATCATATTTTGAAGTTTATCATCCCATATAGCTGTAACAATAGAGTCATGTTCTCACATTCAGAACTGTAATTGTAATTTTACCATAAGGTCATCTTCAAATCCATTACCTTTCTTTCGTTAGTTGTTTTTAAAAGAGATATAATAAATGTGTCTGATTATAAGCCACCTTTAATTATTTAGTGACATCATTATATTCTTTAAAGTGGCAATTAAATTACGTGAACGAAAGTTTTACACTGGAATGATGTACTGCACTGTATCTCAAACTGTATATTTAAGAGTATTCAACATTTTTGGCACGTCTTCTTTTCTTCTTTGTTCTCGACGATAGGAACATCCACAAAGACCACACAAACAGATTTAAAGTCAATGACATCATTTATTGCGAAACAATCAAGAGATGATGTTGAAACTAATAATACTTCAACTCTTCTTGCTATTTCGCTGGTTGTTGTTGGACTCTCTTTCGGGGCCATGACAACTGTTATATACCTTGTGTATAGGCACAGAAATCACACATACACAGTCACACGTACAAAAGATGGTAATTTTAAATATTTTATTATAGTTCTAACAGATTATATTTAAATAAGTATCTTTTATTCAGTATTAAAAACTATTTGATTTCAATGAGTACTATTTATTATTGTTAAATACTTAGTGTGTATTAATAATTTCAAGATAAATGGAATTTCAATTTGTCGACTTAGCTTTTCTCGTTCGTGAAATTTGTAATAAACAAACATATCATCCGACGTGAGTTATGGTCACAGTTTCCGTTAATCTGTCCCACATACTTGTCCGAAGCATAAATCGAAAAACAATTTAGTTATAAACTTTGAACTTATAGGTGAATAGATTTCATCCTGGAGGAATGCGGTGCATATGAAATGCATTATTTTTGTCCGGATTATAACTGGAGATGCATTTGAAACTTAAAATTCCGTATATCAATAGATCTTATTGTAAGAAAAAGTGCATTTCGAAAAGATATTTCCGTATTCATTATGTTTAAGTCATTCCCTTTGTTGTTGTTTTTGTTCATACACGAGTTTTGTCCGGAGCATAACTATTTTAATATAAGTATTTGAGATATCAACTGGAAACTTTATAATCATGTTGATCAGTCTCGTTTTAAAAGGACTGCAGAGGAAAAAATTCAAAACTTTTTCATTAATAATTTTATTGTTATTGACCTTAGTTATTTCTATACTTAAATTTGGTCGGACATTCATTCAAAACGTATTGAGATATGAACTTGAGTCTTCACCGGTTAAAAGATAAAAAGATTAATATCTTCCTTACAAAAGTTTTTTTTTAGTGATTGTTCTATTTATTTCATCTTTAAATTTTGTTCGGGAATTACTGTACTAACTCAAAAAGTATTTTAGATATAAATATGAAATTTAGATATATTTATCAAAGAATGTTGAAATATGCAAGAATGATGAATTCTACTCTTACAGATTGAGGACTAATTGTTTATTTTTGCAAGTTATTGTCCTTTTTTTTTTTTCTGCGTACCATAACTCATCCAGTTTTAGAGGAAATTATTTGAAACGTCATTGGATGATAGATAACAGTAGTAATGCAGTTGACAACAATGGCAAAGTTCCACATCATATTTATGAGTTATTTTCTCTTGTTATCTTTCATGCGAAATTTGCAAATTCCTGTGTACAAACGGATTGTCCACTTTGAATCACAATAACCCGGGCTCCAAATTTCAAAATATCTAGAATAGTAATGAAATTGCGAACGTATTTGATGAAGATTACATGATTGAATATCTGTACTGATACGAAACATTTAAAGATATTTATCATATTTCAGTGAGAGTTTTATGATATATATTTGATAAGTCACATGTATGAAATATTTTAACTGCCTGGTTCTCTTCAAATAATAATAATAATAATCGGTTATAGATCTGTTAAACAATAACGACCTTGAAGACATTATAAGCGTCGAGAGCGTACCGAAGTCCATGTTTTTGTCTAGTTGTGTTTTGATGATTTTATTTGTTTAAAAATAGAACTGCTTAAGCTAGAGCTGTGGAAACAAAAGATACATGAACTGACCCAATCAAATTGATTCAACAATGATTGGTAGTTATTTAAATTTAATTTTTTCAAGTGATCTCTCCATATTGGATTTTAATATTTGTACAAATTATATTATGTTGCTAGGTTATGCGACCATATTGATAAGGTAGTATTGATGAATCCGCACATTATCGCTCCAAAGCTCTTAAAGCACGTTTATCTTTTTCAGGCACGAGTTTGCCCGATAGTTCAATGCCCGATGATCACTACTTCAATAGATCTGATGCTATACCAAATACCACACCATATAGAAAAGGCACACTTGATTTGAAAAATGAAATGGTGGAAATAAAGTGCATAGGAAACTCTATGTATAATAATCATCACACAGGAATGCTATATTCAAACAATATATCACAACATCATTCAGATTATGGTTCTGAAATAAACGTGCATCGAGATAAGAAAACAACTGATAGATCCATACCTGACTCATATCGAATAAAACTCCAGGCAATTAATTTAGACAGTTAATTTTTCATATTCCAATCCTTAATCTCAATAATTGCACGTAGGGTTTATATGATCCAGGACTTATATATTGACCTGAATCAAAAACAAAAACGAACTATTGATAAGATGTTTTAAACAATGATACTATTTTTGTGGAATAACAAGTTGTGCACAAATGAAGAGTTAGAGTGAAAAACAACAGTAACAGTTTTATTGACTGTCGAGTAAATAAATGCAAAATGAAAAAGGCCTTTGTCTCTTTTTTTACTACATTTAAAAAATTGGTTGCAAAGTCAATAATTGTATCATTAACATCACCAATTATCAAAACTAGAGATTTTTATGGTTTTATTTTACTGTTTCATCTCTCATGTGCGTGTCTATAAATTAAAACATACGATCCTTTAGACGGCAGCAAAACCATCTATAATTTGTAATCCTCTTTGCATATATTGAAATGTTTACTTGTCAAAATTAAGAAAACAATATTTGTAAAATTTATAATTTTCGTTATCTTTGCCTGTTTTCTCTGCTCATTTGAATACTATTTCAATTTGGAAACACTTTCTTGTTTTCCCTTACCACCAATCTTCATCACTTTCGGAACTAGAATCACTATCCTCGTAGTTCCGCGAAGCTCTTTGGAGGTCTCTCATTAACTGAGGCTCATTGCTAACTAACCTCTCTAAAGGGGTTTGCATAAACCTTAACGTTTTCACTGGTATTCTTTTGAAAAGATTTAAGTTTGTCTGAAAGAAATGCGGTAAATTTTCCTTTTTGACAAAGTATAGTAGTCTTTTTAAGATGGACTGAACACAGATATCTCTAGTAAGTCTCTGCCACCTAGGCGAATGGTCAATTTCAAAGTCAATGTCATGCATCAATACGTTTTTTAGATGGAAGACGGTGAGCGTTTGAAGTCTCCAGTCTTGCTTGCATAACGTATGTATGACTTTCAATGCATCGATACGGAGACCATGATCAGTGGTTGAGATTTTTCTTAGTATGTTTTCTTCTTGCACTAAAAAGCATGCTCGGAATAAGGTATCGGAAGTTGGATCTAAGTCCGGTAAGTTGGGTTTTATTACGTACAGTGGCTCATCAGCAGACAAGAATATGGCAGGTACCAATGGTATTTTCAAATGCTTTGTGAAAACTAGTTCAAGGGTATCATTAAGATAGTCGAAATTTAACTCGGGCAAAAGACTGTAATCTCCAAATTTAGTAACCCTAAGTCCTTCCATAAACACCTCTACCAAGGCTTTATTAAGTTTTGATGATGATAAATGTATCTCGTCGTCTGCTCGTAACGGAGAATACGTGTCTATTTTAGACCTAGGATTTTTATTCGGAAGATTAATTTCAATGTAACCTATTTCGGGTGATGAATATTTCCATTTTGTATATCTCAGTGACTTGATTGGCACAATGATGATTACCTCTGACTTAACCTCGTGAGTCCATGCAGGGGTACCTTCACAAACAATAGGCTGCATGATTTCTATTCTATTCGGATTGCGTTTGTAGCATGTTGACATTCTTTTATCCTTCATTATAGTCCTTGCGAGAACTACCATTCTTTCACGAGTGAGATTTTCAGGTGTGTCTTTGATAATTGGTACAGGCTGTTTCTCCTTCTTTTCCTTCTTTTCCTTCTTTTCTTTTTTCTCTTTGATAGGTTTGAGTTTCCCAACATTTTTAGAAAGACTCATCCTACTATGTTGCTTATCTAATTTCTGTGGTGGAATAGGCGTATCTCTTTTCTCTTTGAGGAAAATAGCATTTGCTTTCCTTTTATATACAGCCTCTTCCTCCTCTTGTTTCTTGTCTATGTGAGAAAGTCGCTCCAAAACCAGATTTATCTGTCCAGACACTCTCGAAATATGATTAATCTTAGTATTCTCTCTCAATAAAGTCGGAAGGTATAAATGTGTAGATCTTGCGTCCTTTAATCCTAACCGTGTGAAGGTTTTAGAGCTGGACTTACTAGTAGTCCTGTTTATGTCAGGAAAGTTTCTCTGGATCAAGTCCCGCGTTCGTAGTCTTCGAGTGTAGCTGGACGGTAACATAGTCTTTTATTGTATTCAAACCTTTTTAACCTGAAACAAGTATTTTATACGTTAAATTGTGATTTTATAAGCAATAAATTAATATGATTATTATTGATAATTTCTAAATAGTTTGAATAAAATAACAGGCTATCTTGATAAACTTTATAGATTAAAACTAAATGTTTGTTGAAAAAAGATCTCCAAACAATACATACATTTATTAAAAATGCAAGCATTTGCACTGACAGAAGTTAATTCCACTTTGCATAGCCCTGTCAACATTTTGAAATAGATTGATACAAAAAATGTTAACGAGGTATTTTAAATTCTCGTTGAGAAAATCTGAAATGCTTTTAATCATTCTGAATGTAAAGCTGCCTATTTTTCAGATATGAGGTTTTCCATTAGACTAAATAAAGAAAGGTAACAGTTTTGTAGTTGAAAAGTTAAATATCGCTTTTTCAAATTTTGTTGGGCTCGTTTTTGACCTTGAATTCTAATTTAAATTACTTCTTCTTTTCAGCTAGCAATTTTAACTAATAGAAAATATTACGAAAACTTAATATATGATATCAGATTCATTTTAATATATAGTGTGTTATTACGCTTGGGTTTTAAACGTTATTCCTTTCGATTCTTTGTATACCTTTGGAAGTGTGCGTTGTATTTCCCCATGTTACTTAAAGCTTGGCATGCCTCCAGATGAGGTCTGAATATTTAATCAAGGAAAATCATCTTTACAAAAGCTCAACGTGAGATTGTTAGAAATAGCAGTTAAACGAGTTCAGATAATGTAATAATTTTCATGTTATGTGTCATTTATGACAAACTTTGCAGTATTTTTCACCATCTGTCTAAGTACTGCGCAAATTTTTGTCCTCTTTTTGGTAATTCTTATGGTCTGTTAATGCCGTTTGAAATTTGAAAATTATTTACTTTGTTTACTTCGCCATAATTTACTTTTCAATACATTTTCAAAATTGTCATGAAAATTAGCATGAATCTGGAGGCGTGCTGCTTTAAAACATTACTATTCAATGTCTTGAAATTATGTATTTGGTACACGTTATACAAATTTAAACATAGAAAAATATGTAAAACATATCTGCAATTAATGTACATTTGAAATTAATTTCAACTCAATTTCCGTCGCACAATGTTATAAATTATAAAGTAACAAATAGAAGTATGTACCATTTTATAAATTTTAATAGAAATAGCACAATAATCAGAAGAAAATGCTAAAACTTTACAACAAAATACTCAAATAAGCTTAAAAAATAACTTTATTTTTAAAAATGATTCAAATTATCTTACCTCCTTTGTCCATCGCACCTACATCTCCATGGTTTACCTAACAAATCCGAGTCAAACACAATCAATTTCTACACACATTTAGGAAAAGATTCCCATCAAATTTTAAATATCATAAATACTAGAGGATTTACAATTTCAATAAGTGTTAACCCCTAGGATCCAAGGTATCTAGATACGATCGCTTTGCACAAATAGCAAATCATGCCTATTCAATAAATATAACACTCAACACTTTATTGTTTTATTAGATAGATAATGTATCAGTTATAACACTTTATCAGTGTATCTTTAAATGTATTACCAATTGTCTGTGAATAATTAACAAATATTAACCGCGTATTTTTATTATTATTACTATTTCATATATTTCGTCTTTTTGACACACGAAGTTATGTTTTGAGTTATAAAAATCCCAAGTTAAAATCACAAGATATACAGTATAAATAATAGTATATTTATTTCTTAAACATCTTTAAATGTGCATGTATTTATTCAATTTTGTACAAATATTTTAGCGCAGATATAAGATAAAACAAGGATAATATGAGGTCGGTATAAGCAAAGGAATGTAATTGTTATTCTACAAAAGCGACATAATTAAATTTTAAAAAGTGGACAAAGATATTGGTTAACAATAGAAGAAACGGAAATTGTTCCGCCGGCACGAATATTGGAAGAATAATTTAATATACAGTTCATGTCAACAAACACAGATTGTTTGTAATAATATGTATCCCCTGTAATTATAAACTTAACGTAACTTGTTTACTTAATTTTTAACAATACATTTATAGTTTATTTTAACATTATACTTTTAAATGTGGACAATTGAAAATTGAGAACTAACGGGCATAACATAGATTGTAATGTATATCTTTTAAATCATAATTTAACGTACATTTTTTAAGAATATTTTTTTATATCACCGGGTTCATTTGAAATACATGAAATAAACGCTTATACATGTATATCATTTTACTCTACTACGCATCGGTTGAATGTTTCACTATCGTTCGCTTGAAGTACTGTAACGGTATATAATTTTTATAGTGTATTCGCTAAGCTGCGAAGGGATCATAATACATGCATTATTTCATGTAAAGCTTATTGGTCGTCTGTAGGCCGTTTGTGCTCAAATAATTAATTTTAAATACTTGATGATGCACGTTATACAGTCATGGCAATATTCAAAAATAAATATGCTCACATGTTAATGAAATTATAAAGGAAAAAAAGTTAATGATTAGCAAAAATCTTTATAATTATTTGCGATTTCAATGATTTTACTGATCTAATAGATAATCTGATGAAAAATATAGTTATGTATTTACCCGAGTCATTCATCTTTAAAAAGTATCGCAACATCTTGTATAAATCGTTTTTACAGGAGACAATACGAATTTTTCAGTGTTATATTTTTTCTGAAGCTTTGAGCTAAGAGTGATTAAAACACAGATTTTATATACATGTAATATTGCTATTTCATTGCTACCGAAGGGTCACCCCTTTTACTTCTTAAAAGCTGGCAAAGTTGCTCTGTACTTCACTCTCATGTGAATATATTTATCTGGTCATTCGGGATTATTGATTGCAGGACGTTAGCGCTGAAGATTGAAAACCGCTTAAGCTGGTGCTGGGGGGGGGGGGGGGTTGAGAGATGCAGCAGTTTTACATTATCTTCCAATAATAGACTCACTCAAATCGAGTGTGCAATTTTCATATGATTTTGTTGTTTCATTTTGTCGAGAGATCACCCTTTTTCCACATTTATATCTGTACAAAGTAACGAGGTGATATTGTCTAATATATGAAACTTATTTGCTGAAACTCAACTTACTAAAACATTTATGATTTTTCTGTAATTTTTCTTTCCATGAGTTGAATCATTATATTTGAGAATGGTCTTATGATTCAATATGTTTATCTTCCCAGAGAACTAACATTTTCTATTTGAAAAAATATATGTAATTGAAAATATTCTGCTCGTATTATTATCATGCATGTAATGTATTCATTCGTACATCTAATAATATTCTTATGTGTACACTTTATGATTTTCATGTATGTAAATACTAATATTTTTCGTTAAACTTCGGCTTTTCAATTTTGTATGGCCGGTAAACATGTGGATTGTTCGTGGCCTTTTTTCCTATTGAATCATTATTTATCCCTCTCATGTATTTATCATTTGAATTTATCAACTGCAATGGTATTTTTCTATCTTTCTTCTCATCATGGTGCACATAATCGCTGGTATCCGTTGAACGATCAGATATATCCCCTTCCCTTGCTGATGCCTTAGATGGTTTGTGCAATCTTAGAGGATTGTAAACTTTAGGATTCTTTGTTCCTTTCCTACCGATGTCATCATCAATTAAACCTTTAACATATTTATCATTAGAGTTGATTAATTTCACGGGTCGTTCCCGTTTTGGTGAAACGCTTTCATCTCTTTTATATTTATTGTCACGTGCAGTTTTTGTTTCATTGAACTCATTTCCTCCGAAATAGTTTTCTCTTGCCACTGTATAGGCTGGGTGGTTAACTTGTTGGTCTTTCCCGACGTACTTCACGTTCCGTACTTCACATTGATTCTGATTAATGTTAATCGTACAGCCAAGTTACTTGATTGTTAGTAATCTTTGAATCTTTCCCAATTTCCCTCCTTCCCTCTTATTCTGCTTCAAAATATTTCGTTTGTCTAAGCTCACGGCTGTCGTTGTATTCTTCGCAATTCTCTTTCACAGATCTTCTAAAATCCTATCTACATATACTGTTTGTTCAGTTCTTCTTCATGTTTCTTCTGTTGTTCAGCTTTCTCCCTTTCGGTTTCTTCAAGCTTTCTTTTAAGTTCTTTTTCCCTTTCCAGTTCGTTTTGTCGAACTATGTCTTGTTGTCGTTTTCTTTCCATCTCTTTCTCTTCGTTCTCTCTTTCAAGTTCTTTTTGCCGAGCTATGTCTTGTAGTCGTTTTCTTTCCCTCTCTTTCTCTTCGTTCTCCCTTTCAAGTTCTTTCTGCCGAGCTATGTCTTGATGTCGTTTTCTTTCCCTCTCTTTCTCTTCCTCTAATTTTCGTTTATGTTCAACAAGCCTTTCTTGTTCTTTTTGTTTGTCTGATTCATTTTGTCGTTGTATCTGTAGTTCTTTTTCACGCTCTTCTAATTCTCTTTGTTTGTTCAGTTCTTCTTCATATTTCTTCTGCTTTTCAGCGTTTTCCCTTTCTAGCTCCTTTTGTCGAACTAAGTCTTGTTGCTGTGCATTTTGTTTATTTTCACGTTCCTTCTCAGCATCAGCTCTCTGTTTTTTCATTTCATCTTCATTTCTTTTCTGCCTGTCGGCGTTTTCTCTTCTCAACTGATCTTCTGCATCCTTTCTTCTCTTTTCGTCTTCTCTTAATTGTCTTGCTTTTTCATCTTGAAGTCGTTTTAGATCTTGTTCTTGCTCATGCTTTGTTATGTCTTTTTGCCGAACTTGCTCTTCCCGTAAATCTATATCTTCTTTAATCTTTTTTGTTTTAGTGTCACGTTCAGGACTGCCAGAATAACCGGCATACATATTTGAAGTTGATTGTACGATAGGTTGATCGGTTTTCTTGTCTTCAGGTACCGTAGATCGTTCATTACTTCCAAATCTCTTTCTTTTTGACCCTGGTTCTGGAGTATTAGAATTATTGACTTTTTTAGATTTGTCATGTTTTGCTGTGGTATAACAACAAGAGCAACATCCTGAACTTTTAGATTTATCACTTTCTTTTGCAGAATCATCACATTCGTCACGTTTCGAAGGTTTGTTTTGTCTTTCGTTTTGGGTTTTCGATTTATTGCCGGAATTGCAACATCCGGCACAAATACCTTGTCGCTTTTTATCTACACCTTTCGATCGACTATGAGCTGACGATTCTGAATTCTGCGTTTTTTATTTGGTTTTTTCCCCCTGTTCTTAGAATTGCTCCCTTTGGCAAACCCTTCTTCCGCTATTTTTTTTGGATACCCGTCTTTAAAATTTCCATTCGAAATTCCGCTCTTTTTTTTCGAACGCGTTTCCTAGAAAAACAAAAGGAATTTTTTAAAAACAATAATATTTTTTAAATTTTATTTTTTTGTGTTGACTTTTTTTTGTTTTGTTACAAAATTTTGTTAAAAGAAAAATTTTGGGAAAAATGTAAAAAGATATTTTTCAATAATTAATCGATTTGATTAAAAAAGGGGAGTGTTAACGCTTTTCCCATTTTCAAATAACATATTTTGGAGCCTGTTCACGGTAAAAAAAAAATTTATTTTTTTTTTACCACTAAAATAAAAGCTCGATATTAAGAACATTTTTTTTCAAAAGTAAACGAAAACAATAAATCACAAAATCTAGATTAACATAACAGACAAGTCACTTCACACTTTGATAATTGTGTATGAAACTAAGTTAGTACATTTAGCAATGAATGGTTTTATTTCAATAGCCTTTTGTATATTACCTTTTACAGCATCTACAAAAGTAACAGCAGAGAAATATAATCAACGCCAGCAGTAACAATAACAACAAAATCACCAATGCTAACACCAACCAGAACACGACTGAAATAAAAATGCATGTAATAATATTATTATTGATAATAAGAAGGAAAAAAGGAGAAAAAGAAGTCAAAGTGGAATGGTGGTGGTGGTGGTGATGATGATGATGATGATGATGATGATGATGATGATGATGATTGAGGCTCCTGAACTGATAAAAATTAAAATCTTGCTCGTTTTTACAAAATAGCATTTTTAAAGGAACACAAACAATGATAAAAGTAAATTCAGAAATGTAATACCTTGAACATATATCGCACACAAAAAGAACATCGTCGGAAAACCACTTTTTATTTAATATACTGAAATACCGCTACTGATGTATTAATAACATAAACTTCCATGATTTTATGGATAACCAGATTTTTTTTTCATGGATTAGCAATTGAAAACGCAAGGTAAACAAAGAAATTAACAAATCAGAAAGAAAAATATTTATCGATCAATATAAAATACAGACTGGGTTACTTGAATTGAAAATGTTATGACTATAAATGATCGTAAACAACATATACAGTATTCGTATAATTTACATATATTAGCATGGTAGAAAAATCCGCAAATTTTGTTGATAAAATTTAGACATTATTTTCTAACACAATATGTTTTACCTTCAAATATTATTAAATAATCTATAAACTCAAGGCGTCAATCTTACAATGCTGAAATCTCCATACAACAGAACATATATAGTCGCTTAATAACGTATACTTACTCTCAGTTTCCTGATTTTATTTACATTTTGTTGGTTCCCCTCCCCTCCCAAAACATGTCAGTTTGGGCCCAGCCCACCAGCCCCCAAAAATTTTTAAAAAACCTTTTATTTTTCTCACTTTCTGTCCATTTTTGGGCCCTTTTTTAAAGAGAATCATACGCTACCCCTGCCATTAGCAAATTTTTTGGGGTTGGAGTTGGGCCCTTTTTTAAAATAAAAAAAAGGGGTACAAAAACAAAGTGTTATTTTCAATTCATCTTTTTTAAAAATAGGGAACTGGGATTTTAGAATTCGAAAAGTAACCAGTACCCTTTAAAAAAGGAAAAAAAAAAACATAAATTTTTAAAAAAAAATAAACTTAATTTAAATTTAAAGCACTTTTAAAATATATAACATTAAATTTTTTTAAAAAAAATTAAACCCGGCATTTAAAAATATACTTTAAAATCTTAAAAAGCTCAAAAAGCTTTTTGTTCAAAAGCGTTTTTTTTTTAATGGAAACATTTTCCCCCAAAAAAACAAATTTTTAAAAAAATTTTCATAAATTTTAAACAAAAAATTAAAAATTTTTTAAAAATTTTTAAAACCCTTAATTAAACAAATTTTTCATCTTTTTAATTTTTTGTTTTTGAATTTAAACAAAATTTTATAAAAACTTCTTAGAAAAACGGGTTCCCCGGGTCCAAATCCATCCCCCTTTTATTTCCCTGCGTGCTTAATTTTAGGTTTTTAAAAAAATTGGATTTTTAATCCTAACTTGGTTTCACCTTTAAAAGACAATTTTTTTAACTGCGTTTTTTGCCCAAAAAAAAAAAAGTGGGGGGGGTTTATAATTTTAACAAAAGAAACCCTTTTAAAGAGGGGTTGAAATCTCGAAAATTACTTTTTAAAAGCCACTTTTTAAATTGAAGGGTTCCCATTTTATCACAGCATGTAAAAAAAATTAAAAAATAAAATAAAATTCAAATTTTTTTAGAAATTATTTATAATTAGTTTTAACAGTAATAAATCAAAAGTAAGGGATAGATTACTTTATAGTTTATATTCTGACATATAGAATCATAAAAAAGTGAATAGATAGATGACATCTTATATCATCGTACTGTATTTTTGTTTATTCTTTGGGGCGTTTTTATGATATAAACCGACTAAAATAATGCATAAAAATACTTTTGCCTAGATAACAGGACCGGTAAAAATCTCGTATAAAAAGATTAGAGTTCTGTCTATGTGCCTTGTAAAAACTGAGACGTAAAACTTGAAAAAAAAGTTAAAAAATGATAAATTGTATGTAGGTCTTAAATGCGTTTTATAAAAAATGCAAATAAATGTCTCGAATTCTGATTGGCTTAAACACTTTGTATACTATGCTGTATATATACCGTTAAGAACAAAAGCACGCACGAATAACAATGTATTCCTACATCTTAGACGTTTATCTACGTGTGTGCATAAAGTTTATTATTATGATTTGTTCTTTATTGCACATTTCTCGTTTCAAATGCTATTACTTCAGAAAATAGTTTTAAGTAAAAACGAAATGATGACTTTATACTTGAATTACATTTTATTGCATATCGTTCACATTAAAAACCATCTTATGTACGTGTGTCTTTTTCCTTCACTTCTTAAAAACATTCTTAAGCTGCTAAGTTTTTATAAATTTATAAGTTTTTCGTCAAAATACATTCGGTATATAAGTTGCGGATGAGATATGCGTGATATATGTTGTTTTTTCTTCTTTTTTTTTTTTTTTGTTTTGTTTTTGTTTAGTGTGGGGGCGTTTCTTTTTGTAATTGTTTCAATAGTTGCTGTGTATATTTGCCAAAATATGCCACTAAAGAGAAACAGCTTTGTCATAAGGTATATGTCGCCGGTAATTATGTCGCATCTATAAACTAGCTCTAAAGTTAAAGAATGAAAAGTAAAATTGCTATAAATAAAAGAATTATATCTTTGTTATTTAAAACACGTATGTAAGGCTTTAAAATATTTGCATCGTCGGATACCCACGGTTGATTAACATGTAACATAACATGTAAATGATAAATATTAATGGTTCGGCTGTGGGTATTTTTCGATGATCTTTTTGTAAAGCCGATAGATCAATTCCTAATGAAGTGTATGTCGTGTCGAATGACAGTGCATTTCATTTCATTAAAACTTACTTACATTCTTGTATTTAAATTTAGCGCATGTGCTTAACTGAGATGATATAATATCTTGTATAAGTTTGTTTTACATGACTGTATTAAGATAGATTAACCACACCTACTGAAGCTCTTTTCTAAAATTTTAGCAACTGAAATCAATGAGTTTTGCATTTATTGTTCATGAGTAACTTCATTTTATGTGCAAATTGCAAAATAAGACAATTCAACAAACAAGAAAAACAAATAATTGCAAATGCCAGATAGTTATTTTGTGGTTGCTATTGTTTTATTTTCTTCTTATTTATTCTTAATCGACACCATATAGCGCTAGAGAAGGAATACAAAATGTGCATCAATTGAAATCAGCCAACACTCATATACATTTTAGAAAAACACTGTTACATAAAGTGTTGTTTTCTAGGATGATAACAGTAATTGAGCCGCGTCACGACTAAACCAACATAGTGCGATTGCGACCAGCATGGATCCAGACCATCCTGTGCATCCGCGCAGTCTGATCAGGTTCCATGCTGTTCGCTATCAGTTTCTCTACTTGTAATAGGGTTGGTAAGCGAACAGCATGGATCCTGATCAGACTGCGCGGATGCGCAGGCTGGTCTGGGTCCATGCTGGTCGCAAACGCACTTTGTTGGTTTTGTCGTGACGCGGCTCAATTCATTTGTGTATAACATTCGTAATTCTAAGCAATTATCTGGATAGTGTTGCACCCTGTACCATTACAATTTTGTAAATAACCATAAACTTCTCATGTGAATAACTTAAGAATATATTAAGATATTTTCATTTTGATAATATTTTATTATTATTAATGAATTAACAAAATGCTGTAACGATGATTCATACATGCATTTCACATCCATTGAAATTACCTCCATAGACCAGAATTGTTCCATTCCGTGACTCGAAGTAACAATGGCAAAGGACAATAACAAAGGCAGCAACCTGTACCTTTGAGAATACTTGTCACATGTAATAAGAAAATGTTGATCTATTTGCTTTTTTCTCAAATGTCTTTATATTCACTTTTTTAATTGAAAATAAGGACGAGTCATAACACAACATTTAAAATTGGATGAAATCATTTTCCTTTAAATTAACTAAGATATTCTGCAACTAGGTCTCAACACTGCAATTCAGATATTTTACAGGATAAATACATTGGCATATACTAAGTATATGTTTTAATTTTAGTCACTGTGTGTTTTAAATTTGAAATGTAAAAGGTTGAAATAAATATACTTGCTGCATATAAGGTTTACATGTAGCACTGCTTGATTAAGAAAAACACAATAGGCAACAATGACAGATATCCCTAATATTAATAATGATTGCAGAAAAATAAGGTTATGCAAAGTAAGGTTAAATGTTCATAGAACTTATGTGAAAGGCACACACCCATAAATCCGAATAGTTAGCCACAAAGAGTTGTAAATGTAGATGCTATCATGTAAAGCTATTAAATAGCATACACAATATTGGGTTTGTAATTTGGCCGCCAAGAGCACTCGTATCAGTGCAAAGATACACTGATATGAGCCGCGCCATGACAAAACTAACGTAATGCGTTTGCGACCAGCTTGGATCCAGACCAGCCTTCGCATCCACGCAGTCTGGTCAGGATCCATTCTGTTCGCTAACAAACACTATTACAAGTAGAGAAACTGATAGCGAACAGCATGGATCCTGATCAAACTGTGCGGATGTGCAGGCTGGACTGGATCCATGCTGGTCGCAAACGTTTTACGTTAGTTTTGTCGTGACGCGGCTCATATATTTCTATAGAATCTTGAGAGTATGTTTTAAGCAAACTCTACGCTCCTTTCGCAGCTCACTGAATATACTTACGTGAGAGTAAGCAAACTCCAAAGGACGCCAGGAATATTACGAGTACTAAATATATGTAACAACGTAAGCTATTGCTTTAGTTTATCAAAAACTCCTTAGAAGCAGTTTTAAGGGACATATTATGTACATTTAATTTTTGTGAACATTTCTTCTCATACATCTGCCAGTAGACAAAAGGAAAATTGTAATATACTTTGTATATTTGAAAAAAAACCTAATAACTGAAAAACAAACAACAAAACTATGGAAAGTTTTTTATTGTGTTGATGATCTAAACTATGTTATAAAACGATAAAAATATAGTGGAACATTGTAAAAAAACAACTTTTCTCATATCTTTTGAACTTTTATTTCTGCAATGATGCAATTTTTCTTTATTTTTTTTTAAAAATTCTTCTGAAAAAAAAAACCCCAAATAATAACAGACTATTGTTTCAGAACAATACTAATTATTTTGGAATAGTTTTTTTTAAACACAACGAACGAACAAATTTATTTCACATAAACTTTACAGTTTCAGTTTCTAGTGGCTAGCCACTACATTTTACAAATTAATATATAGGTGTACATAGAACATACAATTGTGACAAATATCAATTATGTATACTAAATAGTACACAGCTGTAAAATCAATTGCGCCTTGTCCAAAATAGATTTCACCGCTATATACATGTACTCCTCAAATGAAATACAGTATTGAATTCAGCAATGTAAAATAGCGTCATAATACACACGTTATCAACAATCTACCTATTCAAGTTTCAAAACATTCGAAACTGAACCAAATTTCAATTAAAGAGAACTGGGCAATGTTGAAACTATTTCATTTCATTTTATTTTTCGGTAGGAAATCAGACACTGACAGAATCAAGATTATACAAACAAAATAAAATAATAAATATATGAGCCGTGTCATGACAAAACCAACGTAATGCGTTTGCGACCAGCATGGATTCAGACCAGCATGCGCATCCGCGCAGTCTGATCAGGATCCATGCTGTTTGCTAACAAACCCTATAATAAGTAGAGAAACTGATAGCGAACAACATGGATCCTGATCAGACTGCGCGGATGCGCAAGCTGGTCTGGATCCATGCTGGTCGCAAACCCATATGTTGGTTTTGTCATGACACGGCTCATATGTGAATATTATACAGTTATACAACACAACAAACGTACGTGTACCTCTCAAAGTTTCATATTACGATCTGTGGAAGTGTCTTTCCTTACAATGTCTTTATAATAAGTAACAGTGTACTGATACAACAATAGGAACAGAGAATGTAACAAAAATATAGAAAACTGATAATTATACAAAACAATGTTAAATCAAGGCTACTTGAAATAATAAATGTTCTTAATATATGTTTGTTCAACGCTTCCGACTACATAGATTGTATGCATTTTTTCTCTTTTTTTCTTTTCTTTTCTTTTCTTATTTTTCGAAACAAGCAATCAATACTAATCCGACACATACATATAAAACTTGCTGATCAAACTAAAATTGTCAAGAGTTAATGACTGCTTACTTAGGGTAATTTTCATGGCAATGGGAACAATAAGTAACGGTAACAATAAATCTTCCTTGGTTATTCATTCCGTTCCTATTATATTAGTAAAAAAAAATCTGCGGCCTGAAAGAAAAACTGGGAGCACAATAGGTAAGATACGTAAGTACACATTAGGTTGAATATATTTGTTACATTATTACAAAAATCTAGCTAAAAGTAAAGTAAAGTAAGACAAAATTGTTTCAAACTATACTTTAGTTAACATTCCTTTTGGAATTTACTCCATTCAATTTACATTGGACTGTTTTATCCATCTGTAGATTCGCCACTATTTTTCTTTCGACAGGCGCTCCTAAAATATATATCATATATTATATATGTAAATCAAACAACAAATCAATAGCTACTTGAAATTAAAATTGTTTTTAATAATTGTCGGAACAATGCCTACATACCAGTTTTCTTTTTCTGTTTTTTTTTTCTTTTCTTATTTTTCCAGATTAGCGGACAAATAATGTAAGGGTACATTGTGTTCTCGGAACTGTTCCGCGGCCGTCCGACCGCTTACAAATTTACTTCCCCAATCAGAGAATAGTTCTATACATTGTCATTAATTTATTCATTCATGGATAGTATAATTGAAATAGGCTTTTGAATATTACCCTTTACAGCATCTACAGAAGTAACAGCAAAGGAATATGCTCAACACCAGCAGTAGCAATAACAACAAAATCACCAATGCCAGCACAAACCAAAACACGACTGAAATCATAAAAATGATAGCAACATTCGAAAAGTTAATGCACGACTGTAATTGAATTCAATTAAGGTCGTGACTAGTGCAATTAAATTTGGAACTCGATGCATTTTGATATATGATAAAATAATCTTTATACTCATTACGTCTTTCTAACAATGTTTACTCTTTTTCAGAGTTATAATCTCCACATAGAAGAACATAATTATATGATCATTATATAGCGTATACTTACTCTCAGTTTCCTGATTGTATTCACATTTTGGTTTGGTTCCACTCCATGCGCCATCAGAACAAGTCAGTTTGTCAGAGCCTACCAGTCCATAATATTTAAAACATTTGTATTTTACATCCATTCCGTCGTCCCATTTTGGACCGTTTGAAAGAGAATCATACGTTACGTGCCCATTGGCAATATACGTTGGTGATGTGCACGTGTCAGGTGCACCGGCCATTTTAGTACAAATACGAACAGAGAGTTTTGTCTGATAAACGAAAATTCCCGGTTGATCCGAAAAGTCACATCTGGCAGTGTCGTTGAACTTGTTGGTAGTAACTATTATCTGAGAGAAAAGAGCAACACGAAAACTATGGAGGCTATTCGTTGCCAAAAATCCAGTCTTGTTGATCTGAGTTGAACAGTTTGTTAATGGAAAAAATACAATTGTATTTCTTTGTATGTAAACTCCAATGTTGCATACTTGGATTGAGTTTGCCGATTTAACATTGTAAACATGCATTTCAACAAAATACATTTTGTTAAACGACAAAACATTAACTGATAGTAGCAATACCAAGTGTTCGAATACTCAAAACAGAAGTCACATTCTTAGCTTTACATTGTCGAACCATCATGATTCAGATCAGCATAATCCAGCTTTACACGTTTTTCAATAGCAGATAAAATTAGCTCCGCCCATTTTCCCGCCCACTAAATCATCGTAAATAAACGTATTTTCCGCTATTTTCGGTATTTACCGTCAGCGACAAGAAGCTTATCATACTATTTAGGTGTTTAGTTACTAAACATAATTCACTTGCATGATTGCCTACAATCAACATCAGCGGACTTTTAAGGAATATAGGCATATAAGTTTTAAAACGTTGTAGACACCACATTTCCTGGAAAAAGAAACTTAAAAAAACCCCCAAAACACCAGGTTACATACTGTCTGAGGTGGAAGTGAAAACGATTGAAAAGACTATATTCAACGACAAATAAATTTTACTGATGGTATTCCAATTTGCATAGGAATGAGTAACATTTACAGTTAAGCTGCTACCTTACCACTTTCAAATTTTCAAGTCAACATCTGATAAAGATTTTACTAATACAGACCAACTTCTGGCTGTTGTCTTTCCTAGTAGTACTATTATATTAGTAACCTTAATTCTAGCGTATGACTTGACAAGAAAAAAAAAACCTTTAACAATAGTAAAATTATAACCAAAGTTGTATGTACCCTTTTGTACATAACTTTTTATTTTTACCATATATTTTCCCATTTTTCCCATTTTGTTTTTCAATAAGTAAAAATTAAATGAGTCCAAATGTATGTATGTTGATTATCAATTTTTGTATACCTTGTTTATTTTATCTCTTAGAAAGCCATCACTTACAAAACTTAATAAATATTCTGTGTAGTATTTCATGTAAATAAAAGAAGTTCTCTGTTTTTGATCATATAGACAGCAAATCTAGACAGCAAATCTAGGTAACAGCTATTGGCAGCATGTATACACATATTTTAGAGGTGCTATTGATTCAGTACAATGCATAAAAAGACCTTAACCTTACATATATTAAACAATAAAAGGCTAAATCACATCCTTTGACTCAAAATACCTCCCCATGGAGGTAAACAGAGTTGCCAGGATACACTGAATATTTATTTCAACATTAAAATGGGAAAAATTCACAAGTTTTGGTTATACAACGGAATTATCGATAGTAAACTTTGCATTGTTTCGTGGTTATACACTTGGTCAAAAATATGAGTTTTTCTATAACCCAACATAGTCCTTTAAAGAAAGACGGCACAGGCTTATTGTTCAGTTCTCTTTATTCGTGTTGCCAAAAGTGCCTTCCATGTATCGCATTCTAGTATTATTTGCTGAAGGTAAAAAAAAAGATATGCTTAATAGAATTGCCGTGGCTCACAAAACCCTATCATTGATATCAATGAATAGTGGTGTGTGTCATTATATATGGGAAACATTTCCTTATGTTATTTCACCAACTTTAGTTTTTGCATATTATTATGCTCATTATCAGTATATACGTTGTTACATTTTTACAATATATCTTAACCAATTTTGCATTACTTGAATATCCTGTACTAGAATACGTTTTAACAAAATCAAAGGATGTTCAAAGTCAAGATTGATGTAACAGTTTCTATATAATTTGAAATATTTTTGTACCAGCAAGAGTTACCTCTCTTTATATTCTGCTTTCGTGAAATTGGCTCCGCCTTTTAATTTTCGTCTATTTCCGTGATAATTCCATATATGGAAGTTGCAAAATCGTTTACAAATGTTAATCGCGTTAGAATGTAAAAGGAAAGTGTGGTGTTGTAAACCTGAGTGTGTCAAGTTGATGCAGTTACATTTTTAACGTCATGATGCACAGCATTAAACGTATTGTGTACGTTCTATCGTTTACATTTCTACATGTCGCAAATTTGAAGTTATACATTTATAAATACAGCTTGCAATTTATGTAAGTTGCATGTTAACAGCTTTCATTTTATCAAATCGAGGTAATCAAAATGCTTAATACCAGTGCAGTATGTAACTCTCGGATCGACAATTAGATTTTTACTAATCAGTTTAGTAGAACCGAAGTATGCATTGTCAAGTTTCAAAGGCTGGATTTTTGGCAACGAATAGCCTCTATAGAAAACCATTTCAATTACAAAATGTACTTTACCGAAAAGAACATACAGTAGCCACAACAATTTTCAGTTGTAAACGTTTTAAGAAAACTGATCGCCGATAAAAGTAAAAATAATAGATTATTATAAAGGGTATAAAGCTTTATCCTCTGGTCGATTCTCCACAGAATTTCTCTGTTGTTGTTGTTGTTATTGAAGTAGAGTTTTGTCCATTTAACAATGATTGCCTGTATTTGCCATTCGTTTTAAGGTAATTTACTACCATATTTATTTCATATAAGCATGTTGAATTTTTTTTTTAATTAAACTTTTAAAGCAGAAATGTATAGCATTATACACTTAAAGAAACAATATTTTGCATAAATAGTATACTTACAACGCTTCAAAGCTGAATATTAACAGAAGAAAACTATGTTATAATACACGAAACCAGTAGATCCTAAAAATTATATTATTCATACGCATTAATATTATCTCATAGCTTATCAATTATATCTAAATAAACATTTATATAATCTTCCTAGGAAACGTGAACATTCCATCATTGATTCTTTTTATCGGACGTTTTAACGTATGAAATATATAATAAATGTATTAAGCTATAAAATAGCCATCATTAGCATGCATTTCGCGTCTATTAAAGAGAAAGTGGGTGTTTGATATGAATCTATCATAAATCTTCTAAAGACATACAATGTAGTTGAAATTTACTGTAAATCTCAAGAAATTATTTCTTTGATACTTCATTGCCATATTGTGTCACATTGAAAAATTCCATGAACATCCTCGAATAAACGTAAGGATTTTCTTACTTGAATTTTGATTTATGCTTAAACAGTTGCTAGAGGACATAGACGGTAGCTTCCATTTCACCACTGTTTGCCCATGCGCGCTCCTGTGAACATTCTAAATCAAACCTGCCCATAATATTTCAGTATCACCATGTTTATACCTCCCTTTTCTGACCATTTTTATAATGTTGTTGTTTGGTTTTTTTTTTTCTTTTTTTTTTATCGTTTTCAACTTCTGAATGATTGGTAATGTAAATATTGAAATTGATTTTTTAATAAAAGCCCGACTCCCAACGCCGAAAATTGTAAAAGAGACTCATTTTTTTTCTTCAGGAACGCTTTTATTTATTTTTAAATTTTGGTGTACTCTTGTAGTATCCAAAAAGTTACCCATTGGCCAATTACCTGAAAATAAATTTCATTTCACTTGTTGCTTTTTGAAAATAACTACTGTGCAGTTATAGTGATTTGGTATTTTGTATTGAAGCAAAAATACAACTTTGTTTACATTTTGCTACTTTTATGACAAATGATTTCACATTAGTCGCTACTTTCTTCGGGGACAAGCATCTAACATTCTCTTAAACCATTATCTTAAATATTATAAAATTCGCATTTGCACTTTTTAAAGAAGTAACACAATATTTGTTTTTCAGGCATAATGTGCCTTTAAAATGAACATTAAAATATTTATACAATAAACATGGATATTATACAGGCAGCCAGTATTTGTGGATTGTTTTTAGTTGAAACATTATTTATTTCGCGAATATACATGTGTACATATCGACTGCTTACATCGAAACTGGTCCATCTTAATATAGAAATAGAAGCAGATAGACCAGTTTCGCTCTTAAGCCTCGATAAAGGTATATACATTTACAACAATCTAAGATTCTTATATTCAAGAAAATGATTAGAATGGAAGACTAAGTCTTATAAAATTCGTTCTTTTTTTTAGTATATTTTTTATATTGTACTATAATTATCAAAAAGTATGACAAATCGGGAATATGAATATTTTGGGGAAAAATATGTTAGAAGTAGGAGACTATATCGCAATCAAAAAATGCCTGAAAAATACCGTTTAAGTGTAATTTTGTAGCTAACAAAAGCATAATTAGGTAACAAAATTGGTCTAGTTTAGTAGTTAACAGCTCACGATTAGATCAGAGAAACCGTTTTGTTAAGGATATGTACATATAAACATGCTTGAAAATCGTGGCATGAAATTAGGGTTGCTAAAGAGAAGAGTATTAAGAGTAATGTTGAAATTGTAAAGACTTTGAAATAGCGTTTGTCTATAAGTGTTAAATTTGGATGGTCAAAAAAGAAGAAGTGAAAAATAGTTTCCATTTACCCGCATTCATATAACGGTGTAGGAGATAAGTTTAAGAATTGTTTTTATACTTCATGTAGTTGCATATTATCACCATAATAGAAGTACTTTGGGATAGATTGCTTGTTACGTTGTAGCGTGGTTACGTCATCATTATAACTAAAATGGTCAGCTGACACCAGAACTGGTCCATCAAAAGAGAAGTCCAATTTCTACATTTTTGCACTTCCTTCATTTAACCTTTTGAAGAACAAGCACAAAACCCTTTCCATGATTTCTCACATTTATTGATAATATATAAAATAGTTTTTTCTTCACATATCACAGTTTTCAAATAGCTAACACAAATGGTAATGCTAGCGAAGATCTCTAACATAATATTTGCAACATCTGTATGCTAGTTTTATTGTTTTATGATACTCTCATTTAAACATATACATACATATACATACGTAGAACATAGATAAAAAAAAGATATAAACAGTTAATGAATGACTGGTATAACTACACATAGTACGGGTATTCATGCCCTGTAGATTTACCTCCCGTTATTTATACATTTTAAACCTGCAATAAAATCCATTCATGTAACTACAATGTTATTAAATATTGATTTGCAAGACACAAACATATCACCACATATTTCTCTTCTGAATTGTGTTCTTTTTGTACAAAACTGTATTTTTATGACCTAAAACGGTTTTTACATAAAGCTGCGCGCCTCCAGATACGTCAAGTTATTTCAAGAAAAATAAACTTGCGAAAAATATACTGAGATTTTAAGAAAAGTAAAATTATTCCAGATTAAATCGATAATTTGCATGTTTTGTGCGATTAGTGACTGAATTTGCAGTATTTATCACCATATTTCTTCTTACTGGGCTATTTTTGCATATGTTGACCTCTATTTGATAACATATGCGGATTATCAGTGCCCGTTTGCAATGTGTAAATTACTTTCTTCGTTCAATTCGCAATATCAATTTTACCTTTAAATACTTTTTTTTTAATTTTCATAAAAATCAGCATGAATCTGGAGGCATGTTGCTTTAAAACTTCCGAGAAAGCAGTCCAAATCTTTTACCCTTCCTTATTCTATTAACAATAAAATTATTCACCGAGTCTTACAGAATTATGCCGCACATATTGATGTAAGTATTTATCAATCATACATTAAAACAATCTATTAGATTCAAGGAAATGAAAACACATATTTCATAAATATCTCTCACATCATCCTTCTAGATATTTATTACATCAAATCACAGAACATATTTTACAGCATATCATTTTTTATATAAAATAAGCAAATACATCCCCATAACATAATTGACTCCTTATATTTACTTACAAATTCCACAGATTAAAAATCTACATTATTTGTTGAAATTTGAATAAAGAAGAATGCAAAGAATCATTCGAACATGAACAAAAACTGTATAGAATAATCGAAATCAAACAGTACTTAGAAATTTATGTACATTAAAACTATGATTTGAAACGCCAGATACAGTGTATATGAGGAGAAGATTGTGATACAATGTTTACATTTTTTTACATTTTTAACACCCCAAATGTTGATTCTATAACATGTCTTCGATTTAAATCAATAATCAAACAGTGCTAACATAACATTGGATTGATTCCTCCACTAATGCAACGCTTTAAAGTGAAAAATATTCTCTGAAAAAGAGCGAGTTAAACATTATGTAAATAAGCAAATACATGTATATGGTACAGAACGATATTCTACGCAAACATGTATCTGCAAAGTTTCATATGAAGTATTGGTGGAAATGTCTTAATAAAAATGTTTATAGTTCGATACACTATACCTTTATAATTATATATAATAATGATGTTTCACGAAACATAGATATAGGATATAGATAAATATATGTAACACCTATGCTTTGACCGAGCTATTTAATGGATACTTAAGTGACTATAAGAACAATAATAATAACTACATAGCTAGAAAGTTATCCTACTTTGCCAGAAAATATACAACAAGGAGGAATATAATAGGGTTGCCACTCAACTTAAGTTAGAATTTGTAGATATCTAATTGTAGTAAACAAGAACAGATCTGCGAAATATTTCGAAAAATGAGACAATAAATTTATGTTTCAATATGTACTTTGGTTAACATTCCTTTTAGAATTTACAAATGGGCGCCAAAAGTTTGCTTCAAGGGCCGGTTTAACGGGTCTATAAATCTTTGGATTTCCTGTTTCGTCCTTCATATGGTCTAAGTATCTTGGTCTTACATTTTTACTCTTTTTATTATTCTTTTTCTTCTTTCTTAAAGTATCAGGACTGTTGGAAGGAGACTCGTTTTCCAGATAATTATCATAATCATTTCTGTATCCTTCCTCCAAATCTTTCAGTCGTTTTCTCCTTTCCTCTTCCTTTCTTTCTCTGTCTTTCTTTCGTTGCTCTGTCCGTTGCTTCGCAAGTTCAAGTTGTTGTTGCCTTAATTCTTCTCTTTCTCTTTCCCGTTCTTCAAATTCTCTCGCTCGTTCCTCTTCTCTTTGCCTGTCACGTTCCAGTTTTTCTCGTCTCTGAAGTTCCTTTTCTTTTTCCCTTTCTTCTTTTTCTCTTTTTCTGTCCAATTCTTCTTGTCGCCTTTCTTCGAGTCGCCTTTTACGTTCTTCTTCTCTTTCTCTTAAAATGTCGTCTTCCTCTTGTTGTCTTCTATCCTTTTCTTGAAGAGCCAACTCTCTCTGTTGTTGACGTTGAATTTCCCGTTCACGTTTTTTCTCTAATTCTTCTTGTTCTTTCTTTCTTTCATTTTCTAGCTGTTTCTGTCGTTTTCTTTCGTTAGCTTCTTCTTTTTGCTGACGCAATATTTCTCTCTCATGTTCCTCCTCTGCCTGTTTTTGTTGTCGTTTTCTTTCTTTAGCTTCTTCTTTTTGTTGACGCAATATTTCTCTCTCACGTTCCTCCTCTGCCTGTTTTTGTCTTCGTCTTTCACGCTCTTGCTCTTTCCTTTCTTGTTCATCTTGCATGCGTTTAATCTCTTCTTCTACAAGTGATTCATCCGGATTATTCTTTGCAAACGATTTTGTTTCCTGTTTCTTGATTTCCTTAGCCTTTGGTTGTTTCTTATCTTCCATCTCAATTTGATATTCAGGTTTATTTTTATTTATTTTTGGCGTGGTATCCTTTGTTTTAGATTTCTTATAATTTTCATTTTCATTCTCCTTTTTCGGTGGCTTAGAAGGAATTTCATCTCGGTCATCAGTTTTCTTTTTCTTCGTCCCAAAGCAACACGTGCAGCAACCAGATTGTGTATCATCATCTTTATTATTTTGTCTTTCTTCTTTTGGTGATCTCTCCCGATGTTTGCTTTGCTTCTCCTCCTTTGGGGTAGAACCATAGCAGCAGGATGAACATCCGGACTGAGATTTATTCTCCTTATGTTTGGCATTTTCATCATCTCCTGTCTGGGATCTAGATCGAGGCTGCTTTGTTTTCTTTGTTTTAGATCCTGAGCAACAAGCACTGCACCCAGCATTAGAGTCTTCTTTATCATCCCTAACGTTTGACGAATGTTCTTTTGGCGATCTCGATCTGCCTCTTGTTGGAGATTTATCTCGTTTAGGGGAATCCGCACGAGACTTTCTTTTGTTTTTAGTTTTAGTGTCACTTGAACCATAGCAACAAGCGCTACATGATGACTTATCTTTCTCCTCTTTACCTGTCACACCACTTTCTCCTCTGGCAGGAGATCGGGAACGATGTCTCTGGGGTGACCTTGACCTTTCTCTCTCGTGTTGATCCTTCTTTTGGCGAGGGCCACAACACACACAACATTGATCATCGGATTTGTCCTTTTTTCTTTCTTTTGAAGGAGACCTTGAACTCTTTCTTCCTGCTATCACTTTACTTTCACCTCTGCTAGGAGATCGGGAGCGATGTCTCTGTGGTGATCTTGACCTTGACCTCTTTTTCCCCCGTTTATCTTCGCTTTGACTAGGACCACAGCACACACAACATTGGCTATCCGAATCGTCGTTTCTGTCATCTCGCTTACCTCTAGGAGAGCTGTCCTTACTTCGACGTTTCTTTCTCCTTCCACGTTCAACATCATCGTCACGATCTCCTCTACCTTTCCCACATCTAAAACAAACACTCATGTAGAATAATAAAGTTTTAGTAACTTGACTTTGACCTTTTAATACAACAGTTAACATTATATTTATATTAATCAACCTAACATAGTTTTGATAAAATGAAAACGTATTTTCACTGAGTAAAATATCTTAAGCGTTTTGGATTCTAGTATGATTTTCCTTATTTAAAAATTTAATTCATTTAGAATATTCATTGGGTGATGAAAGTTTACTTTCTCCAGTTTTAAAACATCTAAAAGGCTTAAAATCCATTATTGAAACATTATTATCACATACATGTATTTGATATTTTTCAAGGGTTTTTTTAAATATTGTTTTCTGTGGAATAATGTGACTTTAATTTCATTGTTTCAACAGTTATTCCTGTAATTGATATATGCTGTCGATATATAAGTTATGAAACCGTAATATTATGTTTATATTCCAACAAAGCATTTAGTTTTGCATTTCGTAGAATACTTTTAAAAGTTACCTCTTACAGCATCTACAGAAATAACAGCAGACGAAGATGATTAGAGCCAGTAGCAGCAATAACAAGAGGATGAGCAAAGCCAACACCACCCAAAACACGACTGAAATATTAAAATAACTCAAACATAGCTCATAACTTGGAAATATAAATAAAATAATTTGTACAATGTTACTTTGACAATATCTTTTCAATACCATTAACCGAGTTTTCTTTATTTTAGAATATAGGAAAGAGCAATTGGCTCTATGCTCTGGAGGATCATTTAGTATTCGACTAATCACAGATCGATACCTTTAGAAATCCTACTTGTAAAGTTAATAAATAAATAAAAATATTGGCGTATGCAAGTGTTACAATTTAGGAGTGGAATTATCCTCGGTAATTTAGGACTGATGAAGATACACTATCAACTTGGCCTGTTCAGCATACTGGTGTAAAATACACGGTATAAGAGAGCGAGAGTTTGGATGCAGATTTCTGAATTAGGTAATGTTGCATTTTATAAGAAGTATAATTAAGCAGTTATAGGCGTGTGCAAGTGCTTCATATACATACGTTTATATTGTTTACATTCTAAGAGAAAATAACTTTTTTTACAATATAATATAATATAATATAAAGAAATAGGAAAAACTCAGAGGGATTTTGTTTAGCTGATATATCGACAACGCATGTTTGCGACGTCACTCTTCGATCATTACAAAATGCAAAAATGATGCGGATGTATGTATTTCTTCAGTTGAAAAATATTGGTTAAAACAGACATTTAAGATAACAGGTCCTAAAGATCAAATTGAACCTACCTTCAGTCCATATATGATATTCACATTTTGGCAAAGTGCCAATCCATTTAGCACCGGAGCATTTTTGTTTATAGTTGTCTACGAGCCCATAATATTTATAACACTTGTATATCACTTCGATATCTTCTGCCCAAGGTGAACTTGCACCTGCACCCAGATTATCGTACGAGACATAGCCATGTTTTACTACCGGGGGTGAAGTGGTGCAATCAGTCATTATAAAACTGAAGAAAAAAAATAAATTAACTGTTGGCCAATTATATTATCTTTCTGAGAATGTCGAGTGTTAAGGATATTAGCGTGAATATATTATATATTTTAGTTATACGGGCGACAATAGTGACCAAAAGGCATATAGTTCTTCACGATGCTTAAATAGAAAAAAATATCATCAAACAGATATAATCGTCAGTACAAGAAAAACAATGTCATCGCACAGTTACATTACACGAATGACCAGTCTTAAAGTATCTCTTAAACCACATGTAGTCAGCTGAAACTGAAAATAGTTTCCATATGCCACAACTATAATTATAGAGCACGGCCAACCTGCACACCAGTTTTGTCTATACATATACTACTAGTATTTACTGTTGGCAGCTCAAAATATGAGTTTTCACTATTTTAATATTGAAATCCCTTATACTAAAATTTGAATGGATTGTTTAAAATACAAAACTATGCAAAGCCAATATACGTATTAAGCATGTTGAACACGTACACGAAGCATACCTTTTTTATTTCTTAAAACCTTTTCAATATGTTAAATACAACACTGCGTGAAACTACAAGTAATACATATAGTGCACAATTCACCATATAGATACGTAACATGAAAATTATTCACAGGAATCATTTTATTGTTATATAATCTTTAAGATGCGAAATAAAACATTATTTCATATCATCATCATTATATTAGGATACAGTTTTTTAAAATTTGTGTGCAAAATATAAATATTTGAGATTTGACAAGCTTCTGATTTGTGAAATTGTGTACATGTATGTACATTTTTCCCCTTTTAAGATTAAATGAATAGTCTATATTGTTATTTAATACAAATAGCTTGAAACTTTTAATAATTTGAAACATTGAAACAATACAACAATTAATAATCTGTCACATATCAAGCGTGGTAAATATATCTCTATTGTGGCCAATTTTAATGATAGATTTATCCATTGTTTAATGATAAAAAAGATACTTACAAAACGTTTTATTTAATTATTCCTTTTCATGAATATCTGAAACACTCGAAAATATGAGGAGACGCATTTTAGTTTTAGTGCCCGCCAATTTTATTTATTTATTTTACTTCAGTCATGGAAACTAATAAACAAATACCGAAAAATTGTTTATTCCACCCATCTTGTCGCAGTATGACAGTTTTTGCAATTAAATACTACATTTAAGAAGAAAGTTAAGCAAAAGAATATATTGAATAATTCAAGATTTAAATTATGCAAGCTGTATAGATAAAATGAAACCAAAAATCAATCAATAGTCGATGTCTTGATATGAAATAATTTTGTTGCGCTTTCGGAATCGATCAGGTGTGATTAATAAACTGTAAGATTAAAATATATTTATAGATATGGAATCATCAGTGTGAAAAACATCATTTCTTTACATGGCACAGGTTCTTTTGTAGAAGAGCAAGTGTCCGGATAAATTTCTTTAATGTCATGGAGCTTTTTTCTAAATGTATGCACCTCTAAATCTTAGACTATATATTAATGTATATTTGATATCGTATTACAGACTTATCTTAACCTTTACCTATGCTTATCGTCGTAAATGGATTTGTCCATCTTTCAATCTGGACAAAACCATTCATCATTTTTGGGGAAAATTACTCCAAAATATGTAGTAACTGAATATCGAACACCGCAGATCATAATGAGACGGCAAAGAATGTGCTGGCTGATCTTGCATGGTCTGCACTGGTTGCATTGATAAAGTCAGTTAATCAATCGTTAATGTTATTGACCGCTCAAAAAATCATTATCTTACAGTCGAATATTAATTCAAATTGTTACTAAAATGGTAAAGTGCTATAACAATTATGTTACTTTGGTTGTTGCAACGTTAATTTGCTTACACGTTACATTTTTGTTCTTTCTTTCTTTCTTTCTTTCTTTCTTTCTTTCTTTCATTGATTAATTAATTAATTAATTAATTAATTAATTCATTCATTCATTCATTCATTCATTCATTCATTCATTCATTCATTCTTTCATTCATTCATTCATTCATTCATTCATTCATTCATTCATTCATTCATTCATTCTTTCTTTCTTTCTTTTCTTTTCTTTTCTTTTCTTTTCTTTTCTTTCTTTCTTTCTTTCTTTCTTTCTTTCTTTCTTTCTTTCTTTCTTTTCTTTTCTTTCTTTCTTTCTTTCTTTCTTTCTTTCTCTCATTCAATTATTTATTTATTCATACAATCATTAAGTAGACATTTTGGGTCAGGGCGTTAGATATAATGAGAAAAATAATGTATTTTAGCAAACACTACAAATCCGATTATTATTCCAACTCTTAAAATGCTACCTGCAAAAATGACTTGCCTTAACTAGATATACTTCTGTACGTGTACTCGAGATATTGTCAGCTGCTCAGATTCTGCTAAAGATAGTACAAATGTTTTATAGAATCTATCATGAATACCATATCCGATAAGTAGACCGCCAAAGTACCGATACGCCACAATAAAAACTACGCACGCGCATAAAATGTTTTAATTTAAATGTGGAAAAACATATCAATAAAACATACACTTCAATCGCTTGAAAAGTAAGAAAACTTTAGCCGCCATTTAGATTACACTTAAAATATCTATTACAAAATGCACCCTTACAAATTGCTCTTGGATGTTGTATGTATTTACAGTTCTATAAAATCTTGATATGAATATACCTGAACAGAATAAGTATTTCATAAATTCATTACGCGCATAACTCTTATTTGTTTGTATCTGGATGTTTATCTTTAAAACATGATAATTTGCACGTTTCCTCCTACTCCTACTATGAGCTGATGTTCGTATGACGAAAAACGCGCCAGTTCACAAAAAAAACTACATTCGGAACATATTTGCTGATTACCGAAGTTTGACGAAAATTATCGGAAAATTCGATTATTTGTTTATGTCCAGACTACCTATGAGAAAAGTACATGGGGATCGGGCCAGTAGGTGGGGGGGGGTCATACGGTGAACCTCCCTTGCTCCACCATGTGTTAAAGTCTCAGTAACTTTTATCATTTTAACAATAGTGGGATCTGTCAAATCATTAATGTATTTTGATTCAATTTACAGGTGAAAGAAAAAAATATCATTTACCATCAAGTACTTTATTGCGACATGAAGGTAACTGGGAATTATTTTTATTCGTTATGATTAAGATGGATGCCTCATCAGTGTTAAAATGTTAATTTTTTTTCATTTTTGACATGAGCGGATGAAACCGGGGGCTAGGTCTGGTCCCTAAGCATCTCTTAATTTTTCACGCAAAAAATGTGGACCAAATCTTTTGCAATACTTTCAAAGAGCATTACGGCCTTTTTTATTTTCAATATCCAAGCGACAAATCATCAAAGAGACTTTCTTAAGAAAACAACACAGTTAAGTGTAAGCTTCTATATTAAAGCTGCATGCCTCCAGATGACCCAAAATATTTCAAGAAAATTAAACTTGGAAAATCATACTAAAACTTTGAGAAAAGTAAACAAATTAAAGATTCAAGTGATAATTTATATCTTATGTGTAATTAATGACTGTATTTTGTAGTATTTATCACCATATTTCTACTGCGTTACTAACGCAGTAGGAACTATTTATGCACAGTTTGACCTCTTTTTGGTAATTTACGTGGATTTTAAGTGCCGATAGTAATGTGTCAAGTACTTTCTTTGTTTATTTCACAATATTTTACCTTTAAATTCATTTTCAAAATTTTCATGAAATTTTCATGAAAATTAGGATGAATCTGGAGGCGTGCTGCTTTAAAGCATTATTGTTTTTATCCAATCACCTGATGTCCCTGTAACCTTTTCACAATACGATAATCTGTCTGAAGTTGATATACTGGATAGATATTTGTGATATGTGAACCACGTTAAGGAAATATAAGGCCATCTTTAACTTGAAATAGGTCAGAAAAAGTTTCGAATTACCCATAAACAAAATATATATTTGCTAAATCATACACATTTAGTTTGTTGTTGTTGTTCTGTTTTGAAACCTTTTCAATTATTTAAAATTATAAGATTGACAGACACTGTTTTCTGACTGCGAGCATAGATAAAAGGAAAATGGAGATAGGGATACGCTTTTAATGTGGGTCGTACAGTAAAGTATGTGTTCTAATAACGTGAACTACAATCTAATCAAGCGACAGCTGCTTAAATGTTTAAGTGCATAAAATACAGAACAAATATCGTGTCAAAGTTCAACCAGATAAGGTCCTATAAAATTCTAATCGGTTTTTTGAAGTTATTTCACTTCTTTTAAACATAACATAGTGAAATGGTGACGTTACACGTAATTGCATCGCTTCTAGCGTTCGCCGCCGTCTCACGTGCGACGTTAGACTGCTCAAAAACGTTCCCGCATTCAGGTCTGACGTCACGTTACAATGAGACAATAGCTCATGCTATACATTCCATGACGGTAAGAGGGCTTAAACTTTTCAATAACCGGGCATCAGCGAAGAACTTCGTGCCGACGGTGAACCAAGACCTGAGTGAGGAAATAGCTGTGCTGGACCATGCACCGGAAGAACCGCTGGACCACGACTTTACAACACTTACCATGAACATCGTTGACAAAATTCTCTCAACTCTGGGCAACTCAAAAGATGGACTGGGTGAGACTGAACTTTCTATTTGAATTTCTGAACATTTATGTATCTATAACACTTGTGAAACGTTCTGGCTTATTTTATACGAACTCTTTTAGGAACGCTATAAAATTCAAGCTCATATAGACCCAGAAACTATGGTTACTCATTCGTAGTTATCATAGATAGATAGATAGATACTTTTATTTCCTCCAAAGATGAAGAGCATAACAGTATTTACAGATACAATATTTACAGTAACAATACATGTATAATACCATTTAAATATTATGCGATAACATTACAAAAATATATCATAACAAAAACAAAAATCATATAATATTTATATTGTGGGATCTATATCAAATCTTTCATTCTATGGCAAAAGTAATTCACACCTGTGTTTAATTTATTGATCTATTATCTAACAAGAAAACATGGCAACTACAAGTGTATCCTTAATATGATTGTAAGCATTTCTCCTTTATATAGCTTCAACGAAATCGAAACTAAAGCTTTTTAAAGTGGGAAACACCTTTTATTGATTTCTTAAAAATAATGAAGGGGAATTGGCAAAAAGTGCTAAATAAAAGTCATATCTTCTTCTTAACAGAAGATATAGTTAATATAAAGCTGTAGTTAATTATTTTAGTATTTTCTTCATTTATACAAAAATGATGAAAGATTATGAAAGGAAAACCCGATTTTATACAGTTTTGAATATTGTAAAACTTTAATAAATAATTCATGAGATATTCTACTTATTCATAGAAGTATTTATATTTTAGTTTCCTAGCACTCGAGGATTAAATATATCATGGTTTTTTTCTTACATAATTACAAATAAGACATACGTATCAGAAAACATTTCTCATTGGTACAAATACAAATTACAATATACACAACATATAACGTTCGAAAATGTATCACAATTCATGTCAATACATCATTTAATCTAATAAACGTAATAGTGATTTAGTTAATGAGAAATTTATGAAAAGGCGTTCGTCATTTTTCATTATTATGGAACAGAATTAATGCATTTATTCCATCTTGCTTTATGATATCGGAACTTACATTATGCTTGCTTCTATACTTCTTTATGACAATGAAAACCTGCGTTTTGCTGAATTCAATCATGCCTTATGATTACTGAATGCACTTTCATGTAATTGCAACCTTATGTGTTCCCTACTAAGCCACCAAACTCACAGATTTTAATATGCTATATGTTTAATTGCATCTTTTTTTAAGGACAACGTATTATGTTTGGTGTTTAAGATAACATTCTTTATAACTATATGTAACATGGTAGTTGTATCTTTAATTTGCTATAAATCTGCCACTTATATTGTCGACATTATGTCAAATTAAACTATTCATTTTGATCAATAATTGGCTGATTTGATGTGTATTAGTATTCATATGCTTCAATATATTCACTGATTACAAATATAATGCAATACATGATCACTGCGCATCGACAACGAAGATGACAACGATAGCGATATTATAGTCGCATGTGACAGTACGCACTAAGCAGTTGGCAGTAAGCATAATGCGAGTTGCAATAATTTGTGTTCATATTATGACAGCAGGTGTCGCTTTGTCGGTACATCCCGTTATTTTCCGGATGATCCCGTATTTTGGCACGTGGAGTAAACAAAGTTACGTCCACTTTATATAGGGGCGTATACAGAGCAGTGTTAGTTGGGGACTGACATGTTAATTTACTAAAAAACAAGAGAACACGATGCGACAGACGAAAAGTGCGTGTTTTTGAAGATTCCGCCAGCATGTGGAAAAAAAAGTTATATATGTCTCTAATAACTCATCCTACAAGTGGCAACTCACCTCTTATACAATTGTTTACACTTCTTTTTGAGCGTGTGTGATAAGTGAAATTGAATTTTATCAAACTTAAGGTGGCACGAAGGTGACATGTGTGTGTTTTTATTTATCTCGTGCGCACGAGATACTGTGTCGTGGCCACGGGTTACTAAGTCGTGGCCACGAGATAGTTAAGTCGTGGGAACGAGATACTATGTTGTGGCCACGAGTTACTAAATCGTGGCCACGAGGTAATTAAGTCGTGGGAACGAGATAACTTAGTCGTGGCCACGAGTTACTAAGTCGTGGCCACGAGATAAATAAGTCGTTGGAACAAGTTACTATGTCGTGGCCACGAGAAAGTTTAGTCGTGGCCACGAAAAAGTTAAGTCGTGCGAACGAGATAAATAACCAATCAAATTACACTATTTATATGAATTTTCCTAACAAGGATGCCCCTACTTCATTTGTCCGTAAAAGTGCCATTTATAAAAGTTATTGATTGGTCAAAGATTTAGCGTCATTGTGACCCTGATTTCTGACCAAATTGCCTAAAAATTATAAGGTGTCATCTACTGATCTTTTTAAGTTATATAAACTACGGCTTATTCTTTCTAAATCATTCATCAGACAAGGATTTTGCATGAAGTGTCATGTTTATCTGACCTGTGACCTCAAACATCCTTATAGGATATCTACTGTCCATGGGCAATGTCCCTTCCCAATAAAATAAACCAGGACTAAGTCCCTCTCAAGTTATGGTATAAAAAATGTTAACAGGCCTTTGTACGTACAAAATGACCAATTCTATTATAGAATTGTCCCAACAAAGGGCTATAACTAAAGAGATAAATAAAAACACACACATGTCACTTAGTAACTCGTGGCCACGACTTAGTATTGTTTGGTTTTATTAACCTGTCAATTACATATTGATTACACGGTCGATGCACACAGTATATTAATCTTCGGTAAATGTTCGATAAGTTCCGTGAGATGTACGCTGTACGATGGAATTTAATTTAATTTGTATCTCTAAACTAAGTGTACTCAGCATTATAGCGCAATAGGGTAAATCACGAGTTTATAATCTAAGTGCAACACGCGTTTTAAATTCGAGGCCGCGTTGGTCTATGTTTTTCTCTTATTAATACTTTCAACATTATTGAATCTATATATGAGCCGTGTCACGACAAAACCAACATAATGGGTTTGCGACCAGCATGGATCCAGACCAGCCTGCGCATCCGCGCAGTCTGATCAGGATCCATGCAGTTCGCTATCGGTTTCTTGACTTGTCATAGAGTTTGTAAGCGAACAGCATGGATCCTGATCAGACTGCGCGGATGCGCAGGCTGGTCCGGATCCATGCTGGTCGCAAACCCATTATATTGGTTTTGTCGTGACGCGTCTCATATGATTATTTTATGTTGTTCGTTTTGTTTGATTATGTTTTACTTACTTTTGTTATGTATATACTCTTTTTAAATAACATGTTTTTTTAAGAATTCATGTTTAAAATTAAAACGAATTAAAATCAATTAATGTCTTTTCTATGCCGTAAAACACACTACAAATCTGTTCCATTAAAATATACTGCAAAAATAAAGAAAGAGTTCTAAAACAATGGCAACAGTAAGGATCGAACCACAGACCTCTCAATTATCAGACATTCTCTTTACCGACTGTCCTATTGTGAATTAACGAAAACCTTCACATTTAGCTGGCGTGACTTTCAATCCATGACTAAAATACTCCATATTAATTCTCGTAAACTACACGGACCAAACCGAAGTGGGATCGAATATTTAAATGAGTCCTATAATGTATTCATAATTGACAGGTCAATAAAATCAGACTATACAGTACAAACTTGAATTTGTTTTTGTAAAATGAAATAAATATAATTTGGCTTCACACAAACATTGTGCTTTAAATACTTTACACTGTAATTGGGCAGTATGAATATTCATGTATAGTGTTATTACAAAAATATATATGGAAGTTTCTTTTAAAGACAGGCACAACTTTACTTGACCCGTAATAAGGAAAGCAGATTCCTATACATTATGTGTATGTGTTTTTATTTAAATAAAACATATTTAGTAAGAATTTTATAGATTTCAATAAATTTCTGTGATAAAAATATAATTACTGAAAGATGTGCATAGTAAATCTTTAAGCACAAATGTAATGTGAATGTGGTGGTGTGTGCGGGATGTCTGATCTATAATCAGACACACATTTGCCCAACATTTGTAATTGACTATGCACTATGTCACAAAAATAAACAACTTCCTTCTTTCCTTATTATACATGTATATTTTAATGTGTTACATACCTATTCGCCACTATAAGTGACTGAGACATTTATTAAGTTAAAAGGCCAATTAATAAGTTTTGCTTTTCAATGTCCAAGTCATTAGATAAAGACCTTCGCAATCGTAGGCAGGTGCTTAACAACTGGATGACAGCATTATATGTTTTGATAAGGGAGTACACTATGACCACTCATCAACGTTTCTTTGGCGGTAGGTGCAGCCCTTAAGCCAAGGCTTGAATCCGCCACTGTACGTATAACTGCCCCATTTAATAACTGTTTACGTTTAACATATTTTTTCTATTAGACTGGTTATACATAGTACATGTATAAAAATTATATTGCATAATCCTTACTACTTGTATTTATATTACTTTCCACTGCAATTTAATGTATTAAGCGCTTGGTACGTATTTTATAGCATTGTCGTCCTCTGTATTTTTAACGTATAACCACGATGGCCCTAACGGGTATTCCGTAATATATACATGTACCACCGGAAAATTCCGATGATAGGCGAATCATGGAAAAAATCCGTTGATATCGATAACAGAGTTCTCGCCCCTTAACAGTTCACAAATCGGCTAGACATTGTTTAAATTGTTTATCATAATGTAAGATGATCAAACATAATCCACAAAGCTCAGACACCGAGCTTTATTAAGCATAAACACTGAATAATGGATATGAAGCGGAAAGCTAAAAGTAATCACGCCATGCGAGTTGTAAATCAAATAAAGTCCCATTTTAACAAAATGCCATCAGGGAACAAAAAAATAGTCAATTTTAAATGACTTCTACATAAAAGTAATACACAAAAAACTAAACCGTAAATGGTTTGTATAGAGCATGAAGAAAGGTAGCTTATACATAAAGG